ATCTGTTGTTAAATAAGTGGAGTACTCATTATGGACTTGAAGAACTGTGAACCTGTCCTTGAAATCCTCTGTTCACATAATATGAGATAGATGGTGGAGACGGAAGAATTTCCAGTGCTATTGACTGGCAACCATTCACGTCATCAAGACCTTTGCTGATAATGCTCCACTGTTAATAATGGTTAGGTGCTGTTTTCTGCATCCTCTACATCCTCCTGATGGTGATGTTAAGGTTAAACCAAAAGACTGACACAGCAAACATGCCTCTGCTTTGGATATCAGTGGAACTCCTGGCTTTTTTCAAAATAAATCCATTGTTAACTCTTAAATCATCCGTTCATACCTATCCATCGCTACCATCAATTTAAGTCTATGTTATTATAATCCTGTTGGCTTAGAATCAAATTGGGACCCTTTTATGTATGAGCAGTTGGCTGATGAGGGTGTACTTTTGTTTCAGTCATACTGTAGATCAGATCAAGATTAGATCAGAAAAAAAGACTTCAGGGCTTTCACTTCCTGTCTCTCTACTCCACGTACTGCAACATACAGCATGCCACTGCCAAGTTAAATGGCAGGATGCTTTGCATGACCTCCCTCCTTCCTGAAATGTGCACAAGTGACTTCTTCTCCCAATGGATCCAAGAGATCTACATCCCACATGCTGTTCAGGTAGATGTTGTGCATCATACAGTACTGCAGGATGTCTCTGCTCAGTCACTGCTGTTGAAAATGACCAGAAGAAGATGATGATGATGATGATGATGATACGAGCCGTGGACTGGATTGGTTTTGCACGCTCCAGGTGTAAAAACTTTGGCATCATGTTTGACCACCAAACAAAATTACTCACTTGCACCAGCCCACGACTGAAACATCAAGACACACATCTCACCTCACACAACTATTAGCTGCTCTTCACTAGTTGCCAGCTTAAGAAAGGTTTTAGGTCTGACCACGAGGCTTTATATAATCAGAGCAGGGACTCTTGACCAAATGAAACCTGTTTAAATGAGGAAAAAACATATTACTTTATCTCTGAGGGCCACTGTGTGATGGTTTTGGATCTAGACTTCCTAAAATCATGATTGAAGACATAAATATTTGATTCATGTATTGTCTTGTCAGTCTGAAGCAAAAGTGCAGTTGAACAGAAGCATCTTGAAGTGGCAAAACATTTTCGAGGGCATGACTGGTAAAATGAGAAAATTACAGGTAATTTTGTTTTAGCTTTTGAATTTTATAAATAACCACCTCTGGAGTGGTGAAAGCATCCAACCTGTTCGAATTAAAGATGCAAATAAATCAGAGGAACAGAGGAGCCTCCTCGGTAGTGATAGGGATCAGCTCCTGCTCATAGACACAGTGTTTATAGGCAAAGTTGATCACAGCCTACTCCCTCTGGCAGGGACCTTCAGCAGGCTCTGGTAGTGTTCCTCTTCTTTTGTGTTTAAAAACAGTGGAACAGATATATTCCAGCATTTAAACAGTTTAAAAGCTGCTGTAGATTCTAGTTACTTGTTATTCTAGACTTTCTTGTCATCAGCAAATTTCATGTGAAGACTCAAATTAGCAATGAATGTACCTACCAACAAGTATTGGGTGACATGTACCTTCATTACCACACTGTTTTTTATTTTGACTCAATCCTACACTGTCCTGCTGTCACAAATACTTATGGAATACCAAAAGTGGATTAAACCGCTGTTAAAGATAGTCCCCAAGAGATGCACTTTTTGTTCTTGTTTGAGTGATGTTTACTGAGAACTACAGTGCCCAGCTGTCTTTTTTGAGCTGATTCTCTTCAGCATTCTGTTCTGGAACCTTGGTGCTATAGGGGCAGCTGTGGCTCAGAGCGGGTTGTCCACCAATCGGAAGATCAGCGGTTCGATCCCCAGCTCTTCCTGTCTGCATGCCGAACTTTCCTTGAGCAAGATACTGAACCCCAAATTGTTCCCGATGGCTGTCCCATCGGTGCGAGTGACTTTAAAAAAAAACTGAGTAGCAGGTGGCACCTTGTATGGTAGTCTTGGCCACCAGTGTATGATTGTGTGTGTAAATGGGTAAATGTGACTCGTGTGTAAAAAGTGCTTTGAGTGGTCAGATGACTAGAAAGGCGCTATACAAATGCAGGTCCATTTACCATAGTGAACCAGACTGCATTTCTACCAGTCTTGAGGAGGGTGTTGCTTAATGCACAATGGAAATTAACAGATGGCAGATCACATGGATTACCTACAACCTTTTTTTTTTTTTTTTTTACCCAAAAAACAAGCATGAGCCAACTGTTGATGAAACCAACGCTCTTTCCTTTCTGATGATTTCTCACTTGACTTTTCCATTGTTGTCTTCTCCATCCTCTCTTTCCAACTGGTAGAATATGAAACGCCCACTGATGTCATCACAGTTCGCACTTCAGGTCAAGGAAAACCTGCTATATTTTGGTTTCAGCTGAGAGCAAAGTTTTAGTGCTCTGAATCAATTTATTTTTGGTTTAAATGCAGCTTGGTTTAAACAGCTTAAAATTAGGTGCAGAAACCAGAATGGAACCAGTTCCATGTTGGTGGAAAGGGGTGAGATAGGACTCTCCAAACTGTTCTCAGCTGTGGAACTCCCTACAGTACCTGAGGAACTTAGGCTAGCAAACTCAGTGTCTTCTTTTAAACCTCCTCTAACACAAAGGCTGAATCAGTTTCTATGGCTCTTTTATCAACTTTATTTTTTATTACACACTTTTATCTGGTCTTAAAATATGTTAAGTGTTTTTGTTTTTATTTATGTTTTGCCTGTTTTTATCCTCTACATGCATCCCTGTCATTTTTTCTGTCTCTTATCATCTCATCATTCTCTTCCTTTTTCCTCCCTTTTCCCCAAAGGTTTTTTCATCCACCATTTTTACTTTCTCTTTTCATTCCCCCCTTTCCACAGACTCCTTAGCAGATTTTCTTTCACCTCCTCTCATTTCGCCCACAATCTGTGGAACACAAATGACCTCTGAGTGAGTATATTTATAACCCAAAGGTCTACACAATAGCCTCTCTTTTCTCTCCCTCTCCATTTCTTTTTCTTTCTTGGTACAGATTTTAAACTCAGTGGTAGTCAGGAATGTGTATGCAGATACCGCTGCTATCTTTAAACCAGACATTATGCAGTGTGTGTGTGTGTGTGTGTGTGTGTGTGTGTGTGTGTGCGTGTGTGTGTGTGTGTGTGTGTGGTCTCCAGGCAGACATTTAGACCAAGTGGTATAAAGACAGTTGTACACACACACACACACACACACACACATACACACACACACACACACACACTCAGCTTGGTAAATCAGTTGATATGAATGGGCGCTTTTCTTCTGCATCCTGCTAGGTGGTCACTTACCACATACACACACACCACACAGACACTCACGTACCACACACACACAGACACCACCACACATAAACATGATGGTTATATAACTTTGATGTCATCTCCAGAGGATCCAGTCAGCGTCACTGGAACATTCCTGCTGCAAGTCATGCATTTGTAATTTGTTGTTTAGGTTGTTTGTATATTTTGGAATTGTGTTGTTAGACCCACTGTGACCCACTGTAAAACACTGTGTAGGTCAAGACAGGAAGGCAGAAGTTATTTTGCAGTAAATATTTCCCTTGAAGGTTTGTGTGCACGTCAGGGTGAGTCCTCCGGAGAGTCCATTAGCAAGCACGTGTCAGAAGCTGCATGACTGGAGCAGAGGGCCCATAAACCAGTCCATGAAGCAGAGCTATTAACTCCCTATGTACTTGCCTGCTTGAAAATGTATTATTGTTATAAATGTGTTAATTATTACATTGCATTTTCATTCTGTTTTGAGCGCATATGGACTAATCTGATCTGAGGAGAAGTGAACTGTGCTAGCTAGCACTGGTTCTTGATTCAGGATTCTTGGAACCTTGGTGCTATGTAGCCAACCAGCCAAAAGTAGTAGCAAGATGACGGATCGCTTTGGTTACCTACAAACTTTTTTCTGTTATTACACATATTTGCTTTTATCCAAAAAAACAAGCATGGACTAAATATTGATGATAAGAAGATGCAGGAGATTGTTGTGTGCAAGACTGGCACAGTTTGATGACGTTCTGTAGACTCATTTAGCCACTTGTGAGCAACTGCCATTTTTAAGATGCATAAAAGCTTCAGAGTTCACGAGTGGGGTACTTATTGACAGATTTTATGTCGTAGAACAAAATATGAAAGAACCCATTCAAAAAACACGTACACTTTGAGACTAGGGAACCGTGAGTGGTAAAATGCTAACTCATTTCTGGATTTTAGGAGTCACTTTTGGGGCACTCTGTGAAAATGACACTTCTTCTTCTTTTTCACCATCAGATTGTATTTTTGTGGTCTTACACCATTCACTTGATAGGAACGCCAACAACATGGCCACTCGCTCACTGTGAATTCTCAAGAGAATGGTAAATGGTAAATGGACTGCACTTGTACTTTTCTAGTATTATGACCCCCCCCCCCCAATAACAATGTGTAAAAGAGACTTATGACATGTCCACTGATGTCGGTATGGTTCACAGTTCAGGTCGAGAAACTTTTTAGTTTCAGCTGGAATCCAACTGTTCGGGTTCTGAACCTATTTATTCTTGGTCAAAATGCTCAGAACAGTTCAAAATTTGTTGCACAAACCAAAGCAGAACCCATTCTATGTTAGAGGAAACGAGCTATCTATGATGAAATCTTACCAAACCCCAGTCAATGATCTTTTTAGAATCTATGTGAGACTCTCTAACATGAAGAGGGTCTGGTCTGTGTCCTGAGCATTACCAGTCGGAGGTTCACCAGCATCTGGCTGGGGCTCATTTTCCACCCTGGGATCCTTCCAGTGGCTCCGCTGCTTCCAGGAAAACTAAATCAACCCCAGAAATAATGACCACAGCAGGCTGGACATGCTCAGGACTGAATGAGGAGAACCAGAGGAGAAGAAATATAGAAATGCAGGAAAGAGCGCGTTCACCTTCATCTTTATATTTTATTATAAATTAACAAAACAGAAAGGCAAACTTGTCGTAAAGCAGCTGAAATCAACATTGTCATGGGATTTTCTTCAACAAGCAGAGCAGTGTGGATCATGTGCTGGTTTGAAAATTGTTTTAAATGAATGAATTTCAATGGCAGATGAAGCGCTAACTGTACCAGTGTGAAAGTTTCCATTCCTGTACCCACTGTACTAAAACTTTATGATTAGAACACTACTGGACAGGAGTGAAGGTAATATGCAAAAAAAAACATACAGTATAAATGTTGACGATATGAAAAATAGGCTGCTGCTTCATTACATCCTGAAAATAAAGGCATTACACTGACATTAGATGCAACACAGTATAGAGTATTTGTATCTTATGTCATTATCAGAATCAGTTTTTACTCTCTGGAATTAAACATTGCATATTAGACACAAGTCTGTTTTTTATGATGTTATATTTCTGACTTAGCACCAATACAGTAGCTTATTGACAGAGGATATGCAAAGCTGCTGCATAAGCCTTATATGTGACTTGATGTTGTGAATACATGATTAATGAATTAACACAAAACAGCGAGATAAGTCCAGGGTTCCTTCATGGATGTCTTAAAGGGAAACTCTGCATTTCACTGTTTAATTTCATAAAGTAAGGTGATTCATAAGAAACAGAATTAAAAAATATCAAATCTGATGCAGCAGAGGTCAACTTATCTTGACATTTAGTTTCCAAAACACTGGATCCTGCATATCCCACAATGCTACCAATGGCAACTTTTCATGCAACCCTCCCTGACTGGTCATTGCCGAAGTCTTTCTGACCTCACACCACCATTCAAGTATGGAAGTTAGAGACAAATTAGTAAGTGGACCTTGGAGTTAAAAAGAACACAGGCCCATACATCGTAGTCTTAAAGCTGTGACAGTAACCTTGATGACATCATAAACATGTCATTCCCCCAGACAAAACTGTTTTCAGCGCTCCCTTCTAAACTCTGCAAAGTTTCCTTTTAAAAAGAATTAAAATCACTTATTTATACAGACTAGACAATCCCACTTTACATGATATTAATATTCCCTTTTGCCAAGCACTGAACTCATCACTGAAGGGTCATAACAGAAACCAAACCCCGATCTTTGTTTAGAGATAGAAAGCTTTGATGGGCATTGCCTTTTTGTTTTTTTTTGGTTGTTGTTGTTTTTTGATCTTAAATTTAAGTATGTACGTAATTATGGAGAACAGTCTTCCATAGTTACGTAAAGAGTGTTTACAATCCCAATTCCAAAAGATGTTGAGATGTTGCATAAAGGTAAAAAACAACAGAATGCAATGATTTGCAAGACTTTTCTCACCTATATTCAATTGAATACAATCGAAAGACAAGATATTTAAAGTTCAAACTGATAAACTTTAATGTTTTTTGTAAATATGCACTCATTCGTAATTTGATGCCTGCAACACATTCCAAAAACATTGGGATACGGGCATGTTTAGCACAGTGTGACATCACCTTTTCTTTTAACAACACTCATTTAGAAACTGAGGACACTAACAGTTGAAGTTTTAAAGTGAAATTCTTCCAATTCTGCTTGAAATACGACTTCAGTTGCTCAACAGTTTGTGGTTTCTCTTGTATGTAGGCAGGTAAGTCTAGTACCTGCACTCATTTATTATAAAGCCATGCTATTGGAACAAGTGCAGAATGTGTCTCATCGTCTTACTGGAATAAGCACGGACGTCCTTGAAAAAGACGTCATCTGGGTGGCAGCATGTGTTGCTCCAAAACCTGTATGTTCCTTTCAGCATTCATGGTGCCCTCACAGATATGCAAGTTAACCATGATGTCATGGCACTAATACACCTCCATATCATCACAGTTGCTGGCTTTGAACTTGGTTCAGGTCATAGTCTGGATAGTCCTTTTTTTCTCTTTGGCCTGGAGGACATGACGTCCACGATGGACTTGTCAGACCACAGCACACTTTTCCACTTTGTGTCAGTCCTCCTCAGATGACCTCAGGTCCAGAGAAGTTGCCGTTGTTTCTTGATGTTGTTGATATGTAGCGTTCACTTTGCGTGTGTTTGTTTACTTGCATTTGTAGATGCAGAGACAGACTGTGTTTACCGATAATGGTTTTCAAAAATGTTCCTGGGCCCATGCAGTTATATCCTTTATAAAATCATGTTAGTTTTTAATGCAGTGCAGCCTGAGGGGTCACAGGTCACGGGCATTCAATGTTGATTTTTAGCCTTGCCCCTAATGCGCAGAGATATCTCCTTATTTTCTGAATCTTTTGATGATGTTATTGATTGTAGATGGTGAAATCCATAAATTCCTGCAATTGTGCATTGAGAAACTTTGTTCTTAAACTGTTGCCCACACAGTTTCAAAAAGTCACCATTCTTCCTTGTGAACAACTGGGCCTTTCAAGGATGCCCCTTTTGTTGCCCCTGTCCCAACTTTTTTTGAACGTGTTGCAGGCATCAAATTCAGAATGAGTGAGTATTTACCAGAAACATTAAATTGTATCAGTTTGAACATTAGATATCTTGTCTTTATTCAACTGAATATAAGTTGAAAATGATTTACAAATCATTGCATTCTGTTTTTATTTACATTTACACAATGTCCCAACTTTTTTGGAATTGGGGGTGTATTTGTTCACAAACTGTTGGAGGCACATGTTCTTAAAGAATGGGAGGAACAGTGTAATTAATAGCATTTTTAGAACCATTTGAGTGTGGTTATATGGCAGTGGACAGCTGCGCACTCATGCATGCTCATTTCCACAGTGATTTCTTCATCACAGTCTGAATATGCAGGGGGAATGATATAGATAGTTTTTAAATGAAAGGAAACTTTCCATCTGGAGAAATAGAGAAAGATGTGAATACAATTATTTACATTCATTCATATGACCCCTGGGATTTTGTCTTTTTCCAAATGTGAATACTTCCACTTGTTTTCTGACTTCTTGTGAGTTAAGAGCTGCTCGTGCTGTATAATACTGACTTTGGCATGTGTGACAAAGCAGCAGCTGAGGTCAATATAAAACACATTCAGTTAGACTGATCCACAGTCAGTTAGAAACAAAACATTGATAAAATATCTGTGCAGTTATTATCTTCTCTGTCCTCAGCTTTGTTTGAACCTCCTTGCTGGATATGCTAAATTTTCAGTCTAGCCAAATTTTTTTTCTTCCATCTTCAATTAATTTCTTCCATCTTTGTGTCCGTTTGTTGTGCTAATAAGCGAAGATGACATCATATGTCATCTGATGACTGTTGTCCCACGCATACAGTTTCTTGTCTAGTGGGCTATAAGCCACTTGAGAGGTGTGTCCGTGCACATTTGTGAACGCCAGGCTCGGCACTGTGTGTGTGAGCGTGTGTGTGTCAAAGGCATATGTCACATTAGCATAGTGGCGCTCCATACTGTCCACTGCATAAAGCACGCCACAAACCAGGAAGCTGTTTCCATAGCGACCACGCCGAAGACCTGTGCGGAAGGTCTGTATAGGCTGCAGGTCCCGAGGACGGAGGTGGATAAGCAGGATAACTTCCTGGTGGAAGCCCTCAGTGTCCAGAGCAGGATAAAGCAGCCACAGGCCAGACTCATCAACAGCAAACTCCACCTGGAACATATAACATGCTTTCACTTACAGAGAACCAAAACACTGCAGCTCCTCTCAGCTCTACAAAGTGTTTCAGCATCTTTCAGCTCACTGTTTTAGTTTAGTGGCCCACAGCTTTATTGTTTTAGTTCACTCCTACCGTTCTCATTAGCATCAATTCCAGATGCAGCAGGCAGCTGTTTTCAGCCTAAAGCTATAAACATCCACTGTACACCACCTGCTCAGCTATAGGAAGACGAAGTTAGCAACTAGCTGGTAAACATAGTGGAGATAGTAAAGAGCCAGATTTTATATTTTATTAAGTGTTGGTGATAAGACAAAACCAGAGCAAAAAGGAGAGTGGACATTGGGCATACATTCATCAGGTGGACAGAAAGCCCACTCCAAATGAAAGATAAATCAAGATCAGAAACTGCTGAAAATAGAGCAAGACTTGGGCTGCATACTTCTGTCTGAACCTGACCAGAGCTCAAGAGAGTAGTAATCGAGCCCGACCCGAACCCAACGCAGTTAATGTCACATCTTACTATTGGCGTATGTCAAGTCATCATCTTGACAAACTCTTTTTGAACTGTAACTTGAACTGTTGGGTCCCGTCGGACTTGGGTCGGGTATCCACATTCTAATATGTAAACAAATAGCTGTTTGCTAATTACATAGTTTTCCATATCAATTTAAGAGGTAATAATACGTCAGTGTTGTTCACAGCTTGTTTCTGCTACTCCTTAATTACCAAAAAAAATCTGTTACAGGGTTAAATGAGAGCCAACCTTTACCCTTAATTAATACTTCCTAAGATGGAATCAAAATGTTGTTAGCCTAGCTTAACATAAAGACTCTAAGTGGGGGATAAAAAGCTCATTATTTATCCCACTGAATCTCATAAGCCAATGTGACCTAAACCCTAAATACAATTTGTCATTTTAGGAGTAGTTATGTGGTGGTGTTAAGTATTGTTATAATAGTCTTGTTACAGTGAGGTTGCCATGTTTGGTACCACTGTAGCTGTATAGAATCCTACACTTAAAACCTTTGCTCACCAGCTGGCAACCCACTTTATAGCCAGAGATGATGAAAGGAAGTACTGAGCAGATAAAGAATATTTACAGCACACAACTCCACCTGAAACCACAAACTGACATTTCATATTTCTGTTGATTATATACACTCAATATACAACATGTTATCAAGTGAGCTTTAGAGGTAAGTGTATTGTTGATCTTTAAAGAGAGCTAGCTTTTATGCTAAGCTAAACTAACCACCTCCAAACTGCAACTCTGTACTCAATGCACATACAATGAGAGTGGTATTGATCTAATCATCTCACAAATAAATGTATTTCCCACAATGTAGAACTATTCCGTTAAAGAATTTTTTTCACATTCATAGGGATAACATAAAAAGTAAACTCCAGATATATTTCAGTTGAAACATGAATTGAAATGAACAGGGAACCAAACTACAGCAGTTATTTCTACTCCATGCTATTTGCCCTTTTGAACTCTTTAGTGATTTGTAGAGTTTCTGTTCCCCACGCTGACCTTTTATGACCCTTTAAAGTGTCCCGAGTGTATATTCCTCCAGTAAATTATCATGCTGTGTTTCTTGTACAGTTAAATCACAGTAACATTCACATAAAGTATACCATGGCTCTTACATCAGTATGTGTCCTGTGAGCTTGCTCCTCCAGTAAAGCATCATGTAGTGTGGTCCAGGCGGCTACATATCTGTGTCTCAGGTCATATCTGATGATGTCCCTGCTGAAGGCACGGTTGTAGTAGAAAGCTCCACTAAACACGACATGGCCTGTTCCAGTGAAACTGTAGGGCAGCTTGTATGAATTACTCGCCTGACCTGAGGCAGAACACACGGAAAACATACATGCAGCTTGTCAGGCTCACGATCCACACCGTGAGCTTTAGAACATGTGTAACCATGACTGTATTTCAAGGTGTGATTCATCCATCCAATATCGACAGAAAGTATTTTTGTAGTAGCACTTAAGTGGCTCTCTGCATTAAATTAACAATACAATAACATTTGTCTCAGTGGGTGCTAATGTTTGAAGCTTTCTAAAGGCCTTTCTGCTCTCCAACCTCTGTGTATCTGCTGGTAATGCTCAAAACATTAGGGCTGACCTGTTTTGGTGGGTAAGTTGGTTGGTTGATAAGCTCTTATTTGACCAATTCTGTTAATTTCATTTAGGCTGTGTGCACCAAAACACAAAGGGCTTTTCTAAAAACGCCCAGGAGGATTATATTTTCTATTTTTTCCCCCACCCCTAGCCAGCACTATTAATTTCTCCTCCACTGTTGTTTTTCACCACTTGAACATGGAGGATGTGATGGTTGGTCTTTAATTTGTCACGCCTCTCCACTGTGACTGGGCGGCTGGGTAAAATGGGACAGTGACGAGTGCAGCATTATACCCAAAGCTGAACTTTTTGTAACTCTCTGCGACCAGAAAAACAAAGCCAAATGTGCAGCAGAACAGATGCTGAGGGCCTCGTCAAGCTGCTTCCGTTTGTAGCACAGTACATATGGTGCTCCCATTGCAAAAAAATTTAAAAATACGCTGACCTCAGGAAAAAACACTTTGGTGGACACACAACACTACTAGAGGCCTGTACTACAAACCCAGTTCAACTTACTTTTGGTTATCTTGTTTGACTAACCCTAACATTGGCCATCTGGATAACCGGTACTACAAAGCTGGATATCAACCAGTTCAGTCAACTCTAGGTTTTCTCATTTTAGGGTGAGTAAATCCATAGGTTTTTGGGGGTGGGTTTGCCTCAGGAGGACCTGTAATGGAAGTGACTTAGTGGTGAATGTCCAGTCTTTTTGCCAACTGTTTAGTCATGTAGCTGCATAAGATGTTTCAAACTGTTAAAACTTGACACAGTTTCATGAGTTGTTATGGTTGGAAATAAATTATGGGCTCATGACCTTCTACACACACACACACACACACACACACACACATATATATATATATAAACAACTCCTATACCTGATTTGAAGGTGTCCATGTCTCTGAACTCCAAGAGATTGTTGCCATAGTGACCATTAGTAAGGTAGATGACGTTGCCGTGGCCGCGAGCATCTTTCATCCAGGCTCCATCTCTATTGCCATAGGAGTTCTGCTGGACTGGTTCAGAGATGCTGGCCACTGTATCCTTACACACTGCTGTAAATGAATGAAATATGACACTGTGAATCAAGACTCTATAACACAATTATCATTTTTCACTTATTTTAATGATAAAAGTACAAAAATGTGTGCACTCACTACCAGATAAAGTACTGTACTATATGTATCTCTACCAGGCTTTTTTGTCGTCTTTGGTTGGTCAGCGGGGCTCTCCGTCCAGACGAGACGACTTTTGAATCCTCGCCGAGACTCTGCCGTGGGAGACGCAGCAATGAGCGGACCCATAGTGGTATCTGAGGGTAAAGTGGTGGGCTGATTGACATGCTGGGTTGGCTGAATAGTAGTTTGTTGGGAAGTAGTTGTCAGTTTGGTTGTTGTTGGTTGTGAAGTTGTTAGTGGTATGTTAGTAGTTAATTCAGTCGTTGGTTTGATGGTGGTGGTGGGAATTGGAGTGGTTGTAGTTGTGCTTTGTTGGGTGGTAGTTGGGGGAGCTGTTGGTTGCTGGGTGGGTGCAGGTCTGCTCGGTCTCCTGGACAGGTCCTGAAAGTCTAGCTGTGTGCTTACAGTGGTTGAAGGTCCTGGACTCTTGGTGGTGGGTGGAGTTGCTGTAAAAGAAGTAAAATAAGAGATATAAGAGGGGAGGACAGTTTTATGTTGACTTATTTTTTCAGATGGTTCTATGTGCCTGCTAGAGCTGTCAGTTTTGCAACAATTAAGTTTTTTTTATTTAAGAGGTGGTCACATGCTCTTCATGCAGAAATATTACTTTGATAATAAAAGTTTTGCGGTGAACGGTATTTTAGAGAATTGTATCATTGAATGAGATTGCCAAGAGCTGATTGTCCTCAGGAGGTTAAGGATATGCTCCAGTCAGAACTGGAACATATCCATAGAGAATCATTGCCCAACTATTCATCTCAACTCAAACTCACCCTACTCTACCTGATCAGCACCAAGCAGCAACCTCTAGGGCTGAAAAATGAAGCCAATGTGGAAGTGCCAAAAACTAATTATAGCTGCTGCGCAGCGGTGAGTCAGAAACAGGCATTTTGTGGAGAAAGAGGAGGAAGAGGAGGAAAATGAAAAAAGGAAGAGGAAGAAGACAAATGAGACATATGGGAGGGTCCGTCACCAGGACTGCCAGGACCATAACTAACTCACCATAAAACTTACTACATAAAAAAGTATCTCAGTAATCATGTGTCTTTAATCGTAAGTGCTATATCGTAGGCAACTGGACTTGCTTGCGTTTCTTGAAGACGTTTTGCCTCTCATCCAAGAAGCTTCTTCACTTGTCTGTCAGTGTGTCTTTAATTCACACAGTACAATGAGCCTTTTTCAAGCAAGACATTTTGACATGTCACAGTAGGAATAACACAGGTGTAAATAATGAAATTAATAATGATTAAAGGAAATGGCCACTTTAGAATGAAAATGTAGACAGTACTTACTGACCCTCATGCCAACAAGAAGTCCAGTGTAGTTTTTTAATCCACAAAACTCGTTCGGGGTATCAGAGGATAAAAGCTAGCCGGAATAACAGCTACACTTGAAGTGCATGAAACCCACATTTTGAAAATGTAATAAAACTCTGCTAATTCATTTCAAAAACGTCAGAACGGCTCGTACGTTGTAATCCAAGTGCTCTGAAGCCGCAGCATGCAAAATTGACTTGAAGAGACGTAATTTACTAAATGATGCTATAAAAGTGAAGTAAATTACGTCATCAGATCAGAGGCAGAGTAAGGTAGAGTAAGGAAGGCCATTCCTTCATCATCCTAGGATTTGCATATTCGCCCATGGCTGCCAGTCATAGTAAGATACTGTGATTTGACTATAAGGAAGCAGCTCTGCTGCTTAAAACCAATGCCTCAAACAACAAAAGGTGAGGTCACATATCCAAAGTTTTATGGAGCATTTTGAGAAGTGAGGGATTGACATTATATTGATATGGCACACTGATTAACAAGAAAATTTAAAAATAGCACTTTGTATCAAAAAGGTTGCCAACCCCTGGGTTAGCCCATTTTTTGTTATATTTTAGCTATAATTATAAAACACAAATTTAGGATATTACCAGCGAATGACCCAAGAAGACCTCATTTTTGCCCAATAGGGAAAAAAAATTCTTGAAATTCATCAAAAATTGCCAATTATTTTGATTATCAGTATGATCAGTAATTGGCAAAACGACAGTAAAATCTGATGTTTTCATCAATTAATTCAGCTTAAAGTTACAATGTGTAATTTACATGGTTGTTTATTAGCAAATATCAACTACTGCTTTCATAAATATATATTTACTCAAGTGTAATGCAATTCACATACAAATGGAAGCTTTCTCATAGGCTTAGAATGATTTCTCTATATATACACAGGCAGGGCGTGCTATGCTGGAGGCTGCCCTCTTGCGTCGCCATATTTGAATACAGTGGCCGAAAGTGATATATGCGCTTCGCCTTTTGTGTTTACCTAGAACTTGCTTTCACTGGAGACAGAGAAGGTGAAGCTCAATCCGGGGCGCTTCTGCGTGAACCTGCTTTGTACTTTTATGATTCTGTCGCACTTTAAATGGAGGAACACACATATGTTTTGCCCCGTAAGAGGGAAACCACGCCACCAAATAAAAGAAAAAGATCAGATAAGCGAGGACGGGATAAAACACGAGTGAATATCGGCATTGCTTATTCCAGGTGGAAAAAACTCCTGTGGAAGAACACTCTAGAGACGCATATATTATAACCGTACCAACCTATATTTGCCGCACTGTGCTGTGACTATCACATAAAACGTGTTATTTTAGCATTACTGTGCTAATGTTTGCTCGTGTTACCAAAACAATTAGAGATAAAACACATAACGTTATATCTCACAGATAACCTATATCTCACTTGTAAGCTATAACATATTGTAGTGTCCGCCAGGACGTGTGGAAAGGATGATGCAGTTATTCGGCAAACCACCGTTTATTACTGAACAGTACAGGTTACTGTTGGCCATAACTACGCCAAAACAACCAACAAACAAGAACTTAGCTGTAACTCCAACTGTGCACTCCTGCTCTCTCCTCCAGCTTGCTCCTACACACACCAGCACGTGCACTCACACAGCTCTCATCCCCATCACACTCGCACCCCGCCCCCCTACCTATACTCATTCAATCCCAAACATGCCATTAACTCACAGAACATTGACATTATAACAGAACATTTACTGCAGGGTCGCTACAATATCGTAACATGGTTTAGATTCCTAAATAAATATTCACCTCATCGCTAGATAGGCCTACTCCTGAAAAACTTGAAAAACTCTGCGCAAGGCTTTCTGTCCTACGAGGCCACGTCACTTACCCGACGGGAGGGGTGAGCGCGAGTGAGCACTGCAATCTAGAATTTGACTGCTGATGTCACTGTCACTCACCATTTTTATACACTGAGGCTTTTAAAATCATCACTAGCACAGTGTCTGTGTCTGCAAAAAACATCCATCCTGACAGGACAGGAGGAGAATACTTCACGTTGTTGCTGTTATTTCATGACAGTTTTTGACAAAATGTGATATAAAATCATTATCATAAAAGATTTCTTTAGACTTACTATTTTTTACTTCCTCTTTGTCATCCAGCTCCTCCTCCTCCTCTTTGAAGGTCTCCACCTCTGCCTTGTAAAAGGTCACGCCCCTGATGACCATGCTGGCCTTGTCTTTGAGTGGCTGCTTTGGCTCTGTCTTATCTTTGATTGGCTGTGTTGGCTCTGTCTTGTCTTTGATTGGCTGAGTTGGCTCTGTTTTGTCTTGGATTGGCTGTGTTGGCTCTGTCTTGTCTTGAAATGGCTGTGTTGGCTCTGTCTTGTCTTTGAATGGCTGCGTTGGCTCTGGCTTGTCTTTGATTGGCTGCATTTGCTCTGTCTTGTCTTTGAATGGCTGCGTTGGCTCTGTCTTGTCTTTGATTGGCTGTGTTGGAGCTGTCTTGTCTTTGTTGGTCTTCTTTGGTTCTGTCTTGTCTTTTATTGGCTGCTTTTGATACGTCTTGTCTTTGATTTGCTGCTTTTGATCCGTCTTGTCTTTGATTGGCTGCTTTGGATCTGTCTTGTCTTTGATTGGCTGTGTTGGCTCTGTCTTGTCTTTGATTGGCTTTTGAGTTCCTGTCTTATTCCTGGTTGGCTGTGGTTGTTCCAGACCATCTTGCTGTTGGTTTTTCTTCAGTTGACCCTCATAATTCTTCTGCAACAGAACAAGCACATTTTGGTCTAATTTAGAAAGAGTATGGGATTTCCAGTTCAGATGACAACATGTTTTGAAAACAGATGTGGGAGTTTGTTTGTGCTTCTAGTATATTAGAGACAGCTTTTCAGACAGTAAATACCTGCTTGTTGGCATAGGCAGCTGCCCCACTTTTCTGTCCTGCACGCTCCAAATCATTCACTTTCTTTTTTTTCTGCTGGGCCTTCTTCTCTTTCTCTTTTTCTTTTGCTCTTTCCTTCACACGTTCCTTCTCTCGTGCTCTCTCTGTAAAATTACGGGCAATAGTCTGGAGTGCACACACACAATGACAGCACATTAACAGCCCATCTTAAGCAGGATTAACAATGACATACTCAGTGGCAAACTACTTATAGAATACACAGACTGGTGAAATATAAAAACCTGAATAAATAAAAACCTGAATAAATGAGTGGAGAAATATAACAAAGCTAGAACTTGCCTGAGAATCATCCTGTTTTTAAGTTTTCCTTAGCACCAAATTAGTGATAGTTGCCCATACATTCATTGTGAACTGCTAATATTTAATTCAGCATACTTTTGACAATGCCAGTTGCCAAAATTTAAAGAAATTTAGGCTCAAAATTAGGGATAAAGTTGTAGCCAGGGCAGGAGGCTGGCATTAGCAAACCTCAGAGTGCAGGAGGGAGTGTGCCAGTTTGAGGAACTCAGACAGGTAAGGTGGAGCCAGGTTGTGAAAGGCTTTATAGGTGATGAGAAGAAGTTTCAAGTGGATACACTGGGGGACGGGGAGCCAATGGAGGACGGGGTGAGTTCACATGTATGAGAGTGTGTGAGAAGACGAACAGCTGAATTCTGGAGATATTGCAGTTTCTTGAGAGTGCTGGATGATTAACCGTAGAGGAGACTATTGCAGTAATCAAGTCTGGAAGTAATGAATGCGTGATTAAGAGTCTCTGCAGCTGAAAAGGAGAGGGATGAACGGAGGCCGGGAATGTTTCTCAGATGGAAGGACGCTGTTTTGGTGATGTGTTTGATATGTTGGTCAAAGGAGAGGGTTTGATCAAAGATGACACCAAGGGTATGGGCATGGGGGGTGAGCGAGCACAGTGGAGCTGTTGATGGAGAGAGAGAGGTTATGGGTGGATTTGATGAGAGATTTGGGAGCTGATGATGATGACTTCTGATTTGTCACAGGTAAGTTTGAGGAAGTTGCTTTGAAGCCAGGATTTTATTTTGGTGATGCAGTTGGTGAGGGTAGAGTGATTGGCAGGAGTGATGGCTTTGGTGGAGATGTGGAGCTGAATGTCGTCGGCAAAGTAGATAAACTGAAGAGCATGATGGCGGATTTACCATGTTGCACTATGCTGTCACTGGTGGGGGTTGATGATGGCAGTTAGTTGAAGACAGGGGTGCAGTTGTCTTGATTTTGTCCTGGAAAATATGTTCTTGATATGACACTAGTGCTTGACACATGACAGCAGTAGCAGATCCTGATATGGGCCAAATAGGTGTTTGCCCAGGGCGGCACTCTTGTCACAACGTGTGGGGGTGCGGCAGGAGCAGCAAGTGCTGGAATTTGTCATTTACGTGACAACGCCTGAACGCAACACAGGCTCCGCTCCAATTGACTGTGTGTTCAGGGGGGGTGTCGCCCAGGGCACCATTTAGGCTAGAACCGCCACTGCATGACAGACATGAGAGGATACCAGTCTCTCCCTCCTCTGTTCTCTTATGTGTTTACATGTACTACTCTAAATATATAAAGTATTTTCAGTGAGACATGTATTGTAAAATCCCACAGTAGGTGTCTCTTTAGTCAGCATGTGTACTATTATAAGACATGTGCTCTTCTCAGAACATTATCTTTGAAATTTTGGGGTCTCAAACACATTAACAATACACTATTTTTGCCATGCATTTCTCTTTTCCTGTCTCTTCATCTTCATGGATCATACACAAAATTAGTTTTCAGTAATTCACTTTAATAAAGATACCAACATGCATACTGTTCGATCACCATCAAAGTTTGGCAGTCCAATATCATAAATTTCACTCACTTTAACGCAAAGTTTAAAGGAAACACAAAGTTTCTTAGTACCACTCAGTTTGCACGCCAAATTGCCATTACTCATTTATCTGTGTTGCAGTAAGGATACAGATATGTCAGAAAGAAAACAAGGAAGTTTAATGATTTCATGCTCATACAAGTGTGTTTACACGCTCCCCTGCTATTTGACATATCTATGTCTAATTTGTGCCAATAAACTGTTGCATACTCCAGCTTTATTCAAGTATGTTTATGCATAGCCAGTAATGCTGTATGACAGTTACACTGGTACAATATTTCCCTTTTAAGGAGCAGAATCTACACTTAGTCATCGGCCCAACTGAAGGTACTGGACCTCAGTAGTGTTTTAAAAGACCCCTTTTAACTCCAATCACACTAATTATGGCTTTTGGCATTTGTTTCTCTTGTCCTAACAATGCAAATGACAACTATCTATTATGTGACTGGAGCTGCAGTCTTTGGCCAAAGGAAAGCCTGAAAACCTTCATATGCTATGAACCACCCTGTGGCATTCCTCTTTATGGAAAACAGATTTTTTTTAAGTGAGTGTGGAGTTGCATTCCCTCCATGCAAGTCATTATATATAAGCTAAATGTGGGTAAAAACACAGCGTCATCACACATCTGTGTCTGTGTGTGTTCACCTTCTCTATGTTGTCCACCCTGGTCAGTAGTTTAGTGGTGACAGAGTTGATCTTTAACAAGTCCATTCCATATAGAGAGCCCTCCAGCAAGTCAATAATGGTCGCCAGCTAAACAGAGAGAAAGAACACAGAAAGATGAAAGAAAAACAAAGAGAATAACTTAACTCTAAGGGAATCATTTTTACCTCAAGACAGTTCAAACTCTACACTCCTACAAGAAGGAATTTGCCCTCAATAGCCACTACAAAAACAGTGAAAGCAACATTGTGTGCTTGTGTGTGTGTGTGTGTTTTTGTACCTTAATGTCATCTTTGCTGGCCTCTTGTAGTTTTTTAAACCTGTACTCTCCTTCGCAGGGGTTGACAGCTGAAGGTGGAGCCATGCACACACACTTCTTGCAGTCTGTTCCCTTAGTAACAGTCTCCACAGTGTAAAAATCCTGTTGTGGTGATGCCAGGTCACTGTCATGGATACGGCTGCAGTCAGCGCGTTTGATTGGTCGAACAATACAACGACACACACAGTCAGACCCTGAGGACACGGTCTTTACTTTGTCGTAATCGCCAAGCAACTGAAAAAAGACACAGAGTTTGTTTTTTCTTTCTCAGTAACTTTTTCATCTCACTCTGGCTGCTCAGATGAAAAGAAACTTTAAAGAAATAATATAGTCACTTTCACATTTTACTCAAGGTTGATATGAATTTAGGCATTTCATTTATGTCAGTCTATTATACTGGCTCTATACAGTGTATAGTATTTATTCAAGTCTTTCTGCTTAGAAGAGACTCTCTACTTTGAAGAAAGCAGGAATACTTGAATGAAAAGTGAAAGAAAAGAGTTGCAGCACGGGTGATGCTTTGCAGCTGCAGCAGTGGTGAGCTGCCTGAGAGGAAGATGGCTACAGGCGTTTACAAACAGCCACTTTTTGGTTTGGAGCACTTACAGTTTGAAGGATATTACATAACCAACCACCAGAAGGATGCAACCCGTTGCTGCACACACACACACACACACACACACACACACATACACAGGTCTGTGTCTGATTTACACATCATTTAAGCTGAACTGACTAACTGTGGGGTTTGGATATCGTATAAAGGAAAAATAAATTATAGGCCTAGTTTTGCATATAAAACTGCAGTGTCTAATACAATCACTTAATCTCATTTTCATATTGGAAATGAGAAATTTAAGGTTTATAGTTAAAAAGCACCATGTGTCCAAAATGCACAAGTGCTTTGAGTTCTCATGTGGTTTTCACATGATGAAGTGGATGGAAAATGTTCCTGAGGTCAAGTAACCACTGAGATGTGATCTGACACACAAGACTGTTGGCGAGTGAGATCAAATGCAGCATAATGGAGAGGGGGAAAATAAACTGGTCTTGGGTTTAAGTTCTGGCAATTTAATATCTATCCCAGTTTTTTTTAACAGCATGGTCCTTACGTACAAAACTTTCACTGAACTGGGGAGGATCACGTGGATAACACATTTTTAACTTGGCTATTAGTAAATTGGATAATGCCGAATTGAAGGGTGCCTCCTTTTAATTTATTAAACATGTGTAGTCTTTCCTCTACTGGTTTTGTGCGTTTGAGGCACGCGATTTGTCATTAAACCACCAGTTTGTGTGTGCGGTTTGGTAATGAATGACTGGGTGCGCATTACACTAACCTGGCTGATAACATTCTCTTGGTTATCCATCTCCTCTTCCAGAGGCTCGGCGGTGGGCTGCTGAGCTCTCCCCTCCGCACCCACAACAGGAGCGTCTGTCCCCGGGGGCAGCTGCAGACTGTCATCCACTTTCTCCGCGGGGGGAGCATCCTTGTCCGGTTTACCCAGCTCTGCTGCCTCGGTCCCCAGCATCTTCCCCCGCGAGGGGTCAACGCTGCTGTCCGCCTCCAGAGCATCAAGACCACTTACAGCACAGCAAAAAATAAGCAGCGAGAATCTGGGCCACATTTCTCCACAGAGGCAACTGACAATGAAGAGTGAGGAAACTATAGTCTCAGGTAATTATCAGGTAGTTGTAACCAAAAATGTCTGGAAGGTCCAGTCTGACAGCGCAGAAAGAACAAACGCCCACGTAATGTTATCCAGCAGTCCACTGGTTTTAGGCTGCCTTGCGAGCGACTAATTACACGCCTTCCAAACGCTTAAAAATAAACGTCCATTGTTCTTGAAAAGCTTCTCAACATCTCCAAAGCACTGAATAAACGCTGGTCCACGTTTAGCCGGAAAAAGAAAAACTTGACACAATAAACTCGTGCACTTACTTCAGTTGTGTCCATCGAGACGCTTGGTCATTAATGAATGAAAAATGAACTAGTCACAATTGTGCACGTATAAAATGCCGGGGACAAAGAACTGTATTCGGTTCCATGTGACGTGTCGCCGGTGAGATGGGTGGCACCGACAGAGGGGACAGACCTCCTCACCTGACCCGGTCCAAACCAGGACTGGCTGAGCTCGTGCCTGAGAGAGCGAGAGAGAGAAAGAGAGCTCCCCAACCTCACTGTCCAGCTGTGGGACACAGTCAGCAACCCCTTAAAGGAACACTTCACCCCCCAATCATCATTTGTATATCAATAACTCACCCCATACTATTTTGGATTCGAGAAAAAAAACTGTTTCTCTCGCATGGCTCTTGTGAATGATGAATCCAAAAAGCAAATATTTTTGATGAACTGAAGTCATAGGGGTCCATGTTTGATTTGTGCAAAAGTATATCAAAACAGCCTTTATAAACTCACATAACTCATGCAGTATAATCCAAGGCTCATGTATCATATTAGTTGTAAGGTCAGTACTTCCAAAACACACGCATTTTCAGGAAAACCTTAGGTCTACTATTTAAAACACTACTCTGTGTATGAGAATGTTAAGTAACAATTTATAATTCAACCAGCCACTTACTGCATTGGCTAAATACCCGACACTTACTGGGTAAGTCCTCTTAACTTAGAGTTTAATATTGTCAACCAGTACCTATCAAATGCTTATTTGTTCTCACTGGTACTTAAATGTAGGTATGACCTTAAGGGAGTAACAGTTGGGAATTGCAGAGGCTAACCTATACTGCAAGTATTTTCTAAGTTCAGGGTACCTACAGGCTATTTTACAGGAAATGGTAAATTACTCATACTGTAAGTAAATGTGGAGTATGTATTTCTGTCAGGTAGGAGTAAAATGACAGGGAAGCTTAGGTAGATAATTTATTTTATGAGATTTTATTTTTGAGAAATTAAGGAAAGTGCCTGAAAAAGAATAATCAACCATAAATGAGGAAATTGACTACTATCCCCAAGTACTGGGTACTTATGGGGTACTTTTAGAGGAAACTGTAAGCATAAGTATGTGGCAGTTGAATTTTTTGGCTTCATGCGTCAATGAGCAACATTCACAGCAAAGTGTCCAACACTGTATCCAGTTCTCTATATACATCTATGGTGTAAGCAAAAATGCATGTGTTTGTGACTCGATACATGCTACTTGGATTATACTGCACAAGTTGTGTGAGAGTTTCTTTTGTTACAGTTCTACTGTTAGTAAATGCAGACCCTGAATGCTCGCCTTTTTTGCATTCTTTGTTCACAGTGGAGTCGTGTGAGAAAAACAAAGTTTTTTTCTCAATAATGTGGGGACGAAGTATTCCTTTGAAGTACTTTCAATAATCCTTAATTTATACCAAATATTAAGAGACCCTTTAACTTATTCTGATAAGGAGAAAACTAAAACCCTTAGATCTACACATCTTCTGGTTTAGGGATCTGAAACATATTTTGTTACAAATTAAAGCCATTTTAGGAGATTCTTATTTAGTCTTCAGGTGTTTACCCAGATTTGGAATAAATGGAGAAGTGGATAAATACATTTTACTGTATTTATTAAAGGGTTTTGATCATACTGTAATTAACATGACAGGTAGCTATACTTCATACAAGTTTTAACTTTGTAACTTTCACGGTTATAGAATAGATTATAGAGCTAATAAACACATGTAATACTATGCAATACAGTTGCAATAGACACAAAAAAAACCATGGCCTTAAAAATAACTGATGAGTCACATGTCTTGCACATTCTCAAAGAAAAAAAAAAATTAACATTTAAAAAAAGAGAAAAACACGATCAATCATTTCATGATTGAGTGTCAGTTAGTTTGTGGTTATTTGATTGGACACATCTTTAATGAGAAATATGCAACATATGAGCACAAGATAATTAGTACAACTGTTTAAAATGGCATCCGTCCAAATTAAATGCTTACTGAATCTTGCCAGACTACAATTACAAAAGTGAAGTTGTAATAAGCTTCAAGCATTTTAGGCATTTCCGAAGAAGAAACCAAACAAAACTGTCACAACAGAGCAGCAGAAATTTTTGTTTGCAGAGGAAGAAAAGGCAAAAAAGAAGTAAGTAAGTAGAGTTAGTGATGTCTACATTCCATAGTGTCCCAGTGAGACAGCATGCTCAATACCAGACTTTGAACTAAACGGAATGCAGCCCTTGCCAATGTTATTAATTACACCTGTGCTTTCCCTGCTACAACATGTAAAAATGTTTGCAGTGAAAAAGGTCTGTAGTGCCCCCACAACTTGAGGTCATTGGATTTCTGAGCTCAAATTAGTGTGTTCAAATATACTAATAATGTTTTTTTAAAAAATGCATAAAACACCTTGTGAGAGTTGAATTGTCACCAGAATGTTTACATATGGTAGTTAATCGCTTTTCTAATAAGGAAAGACTGATGTTAGAGTATCACTGTTACATGAAACTAAAAGTATTATCCTGTTTCCATGTTAACCAGCAGATGGCCCTGCAGGGGAGGTTGTGACACTTGTGTATGGTGTTGTCATTGGTGAGATGACTGCTGGGACAGATTTCACCTCATGTTTTGACATTACCACCCAGCTCACCACACACTGACTCACAGAGCAGAGAGGAAATGAGCTGAGCAAAAACTTCTTGACACATCAGAGCAGCTCATTTAGTTGACGTATAGGTTTCCTGTGTATACTGTGTATGCACATTCAGATAATCGAATCAAGCTTTTCACTTGAGAAGAATTGAAATAGATACATTATGGGAGCATCTTCCTCTGGCTTGTTGGATGAGGCTAAAATCAGCAACATCAAAGGTAAAACTAAGAGAAACCTTTTTTTTATTATTTTTTTTATTTAAAATTTCTATAATGTAGTCACAGCTTTGGACGCTTGTTGTTTAGAATTCTTCATAAGGACTTTGATGGCCCAGATGTCTTGCCCAGATACTGTATTTCAGCCCTATTTAAATATAAGCTCTCCATTTTGAGTAAAGTTGATAAATCGGGGGGAAGAAAGAGAGAGACAGACAAATGTACGGTATAAGAGAAATGACAGAAGCAATAGGGGTGTGTGTAGGACTGATGGTGCCACTTGTAATCATAGCAGAAGCAATCGTAACTGGAGCAGTAGTATCAGTAGGAATTGTATTGGTGCCGTTTATGATGGCGTACACTCCACTGTGTAGTTGCTTTAGATCTGAGTTTCAAGTTCAAGAAGTCAAAACTCTTCACACAGTCATTGACACTGAAGTCTATGTGGACCGAACTGTAAATCATTGTCATTGCTTTCACACAACTCTTCTCTTATTCATACTCCACCACCTGTAAAACACTATATGCGGTGCAATTTTTAAAATGCTAAGGGGCTGTTCGTTACTTATGAGAGGGGAGGGGATTGTGCAAAGTGGGGGAGGCATGTCAAATACATTTCTAAGCACCAGGGAGGGACTCATGTTTTTTATTTTGGCTTAGGGGAGGACATACAAATTTAAATGGTTGTACTTTGAATTTATATTTATATTACAGCTGATTATGAAAGAAAACATGCTTTGGAAAAATCTGGAAAAATTACACCCTTTATCATAGCCAGAAACTGTAAAGACAAAGTGTTGTTGGATTTTCAGATTTCTCAAAGTCCTTCAAACACATCATGTGTCAATAGTGCTAATTTTTCAAAATCACTTGATGACTAATCACCAATCACTAATTTACTATGCGCAAAGATAAAGAGAAAAATAAATTTTACTGATGCAAATTGCGGCATTACGGATTTATTCTTGAAAAGGTGTTATTTTTATTCCATAATGAAATACTGATTTATGATGAAAAGTCATTCAAATTTCAGAGATAAACATTCATCATTTCAGTAATGCTCACTGTTGTTAGTGTTTGATATTGTGTTATGAATGATAGTGTTGCTCTCTAAGTGAGAACTGTGTTATAGTCGAACAACCTCATTTTAGACATGGTTGGTAATGCAGACTGTATGAAGAACATTGAAAAAGTTACTTCAGTATGACTGCTGCTTGTTAGCAATAAAAAAAAGAAAAAGCTGTAATATACTGCCCATACATGGATAATTTGAGTAAACCCCATATAATCTAATGTAATCAAAAACAAAAGCATTGACACTGTCACAGAGGAGTTCATTCAATCCATGGTCATTTTGGAAGCTGTAGTTAGTGGTGTTGTATTGGACTGCATTGTACTGGTTCTACATGCATGAAGGTGGCATAACATATCATATTGTGGTCTTTATTAGATAGCTTTCAGTAAAGAGGTAGACAGGAAACATAAGGCGGGCTATGACATGCAACAAAGGTCCCCGGAAACAAAGTGGGGATGTCATGCTAATATGGTACTCGCATTAACCACCAGGCCACAAGAACAGTATGCATAATAGTTTTTTTGTTTGTTTGTTTGTTTGTTTGTTTGTTCGTTCGTTAGGTTGGTTGTTTCATTGAACATGTTATCAATAAAAATGTGTTTTTGACAAAGTCACAAATTATAATTTTAACTTAAAAATCAACTTTGAATTTTAAAAAAATGATGTGTATGCTGGGTTCATTTCCATGTGTGCATTCCCATACATGTTATCGGCACAGCCACATCCTGTCACTTATCTGTTAGAATGTAATTACAGCCATTTCCAACTATTACA